AGTTATACTGTGTTGGGTGTAAGAGAGTTATATTGTAGGTGTAAGAGAGTTATACTGTGTTGGGTGTAAGAGAGTTATACTGTGTTGGGTGTAAGAGAGCTATACTGTAAGATTGGGTGTAAGAGAGTTATACTGTGTTGGGTGTAAGAGAGTTATACTGTGTTGGGTGTAAGAGAGTTATACTGTGTTGGGTGTAAGAGAGCTATACTGTAAGACTGTGTTGGGTGTAAGAGAGTTATACTGTGTTGGGTGTAAGAGAGTTATACTATGTTGGGTGTAAGAGAGTTATTCTGTGTTGGGTGTAAGAGAGCTATACTGTAAGACTGTGTTGGGTGTAAAAGAGTTATACTGTGTTGGGTGTAAGAGAGTTATACTGTGTTGGGTGTAATATAGTTAAACTTAGTTGGGTGTAGGAGAGCTATACTGTAAGACTGTGTTGGGTGTACGAAAGTTATACTGTGTTGGGTGTAAGAGAGCTATACTGTAAGACTGTGTTAGGTGTAAGAGAGTTATACTTTGTTGAGTATAAGAGAGATATACTCTATTGGGTGTAAGAGAGCTATACTGTGTTGGGTGTAAAAGAGTTATACTGTGTTGTGTGCAAAAGAGTTCTACTGTGTTGGGTGTAAAAGAGTTATTCTGTGTTAGGTGTATGAGAGTTATACTGTGTTAGGTGTAAGGGAGTTATGCTGTGTTGGGTGTAAAAGAGTTATTCTGTGTTTGGTGTATGAGAGTTATTATGTGTTAGGTGTAAGAAAGTTATACTGTGTTCGGTGTAAAGAGTTATTCTGTGTTAAGTATAAAAGAGTTATATTGTGCTGGGAGTAAAAGTGTTATTCTTTGTTTGGTGTAAGAGAGTTATACTGTGTTGGGTGTAAGAAAGTTATAATGTATTGGGTGTAAAAGAGTTATTCTGTGTTAGGTGTAAGAGAGTTAAATGTGTTGGATGTAAGAGGTGTTATACTGTACTGTGTAAGGTGCAAGAGAGTTATACTATGTTGGGTGTAAAAGAGTTATACTGTGCTGGGTGTAAGAGAGCTATACTGTGTTGGGTGTAAAAGAGTTATACTGTGTTGTGTGTAAAAGAGTTATACTGTGTTGGGTGTAAAAGAGTTATTCCTTGTTTGGTGTAAGAGAGTTATACTGTATTGGGTGTAAAAGAGGTATACTGTGTTAGGTGTAAGGGAGTTATACTGTGTTGGGTGTAAGAGAGTTATACTGTGTTGTTTGTATGAGAGTTATACTGTATTACTGTTATTGGGTGTAAGAGTGTTATACTGCGTTGGGTATAAGAGTGTTATACTGTAAGACTGTGTTGGGTGTAAGAGAGCTCTACTGTGTTGGGTGTAAAAGAGTTATACTGTGTTGTGTGTAAAAGAGTTCTACTGTGTTGGGTGTAAAAGAGTTATTCCTTGTTTGGTGTAAGAGAGTTATACTGTATTGGGTGTAAAAGAGTTATTCTGTGTTAGGTGTATGAGAGTTATACTGTGTTAGGTGTAAGGGAGTTATGCTGTGTTGGGTGTAAAAGAGTTATTCTGTGTTTGGTGTATGAGAGTTATTCTGTGTTAGGTGTAAGAGAGTTATACTGTGTTGGGTGTAAAGAGATATTCTGTGTTAAGTATAAAAGAGTTATACTGTGCTGGGAGTAAAAGAATTAATCTGTGTTAGGTAAAAGAAAGTTATACTATGTTGGGTGTAAGAGAGTTATACTGTGCTGGGTGTAAGAGAGTTATTCTTTGTTTGGTGTAAGAGAGTTATAATATGTTGGGTGTAAGAAATTTATACTGTGTTAGGTGTATGAGAGTTGTACTGTGTTAGGTGTAAGAGAGTTATACTGTGTTGGGTGTAAAAGAGTTATTCTGTGTTAGGTATAAGAGAGATAAACTGTGTTGGGTGTAAGAGAGTTATACTGTGTTAGGTGCAAGAGTGTTATACTGTAAGACTGTGTTGGGTGTAAGAGAGCTCTACTGTGTTGGGTGTAAAAGAGTTATACTGTGTTGTGTGTAAAAGAGTTCTACTGTGTTGGGTGTAAAAGAGTTATTCTGTGTTAGGTATAAGAGAATTTTACTGTGTTGGGTGTAAGAGAGTTATTCTTTGTTTGGTGTAAGAGAGTTATACTGTATTGGGTGTAAGAAAGTTATACTGTGTTGGGTGTAAGAGAGTTATACTGTATTGGGTGAAAGAGAGTTATACTGTGTTAGGTGTAAAAGAGTTATAATGTGTTGGATGTAAAAGAGTTATTCTGTGTTAGGTATAAGAGAGTTAAACTGTGTTGGGTGTAAGAGAGTTATACTGTATTGGGTGCAAGAGAGTTATACTGTGCTAGGTGTAAGAGAGTTATTCTTTTTTTGTGTAAGACAGTTATACTGTGTTGGGTGTACAAGAGTTATACTCTGCTGGGTGTAAAAGAGTTATTCTTTGTTTGGTGTAAGAGAGTTATAATATGTTGGGTGTAAGAGAGTTATACTGTGTTTGTGTAAGATTGTTATACTGTGTTGGGTGTAAGAGAGTTATACTGTATTGGGTGTAAAAGAGTTATTCTGTGTTACGTATAAGAGAGTTATACTGTGTTGGGTGTAAGAGAGTTTTTCTTTGTTTGGTGTAAGAGAGTTATACTGTGTTGGGTGTTTGAGAGTTATACTGTGTTGGGTGTAAGAGATTTATACTGTGTTGGGTGTATGAGAGTTATATTGTGTTGGGTGTAAAAGAATTAATCTGTGTTAGGTAAAAGAAAGTTATACTATGTTGGGTGTAAGAGAGTTATACTGTGCTGGGTGTAAGAGAGTTATTCTTTGTTTGATGTAAGAGAGTTATAATATGTTGGGTGTAAGAGATTTATACTGTGTTAGGTGTATGAGAGTTGTACTGTGTTAGGTGTAAGAGAGTTATACTGTGTTGGGTGTAAAAGAGTTATTCTGTGTTAGGTATAAGAGAGATATACTATGTTGTGTGTAAGAGAGTTATAATGTGTAGGGTGTAAAAGAGTTATACTGTGCTGGGTGTAAGAGAGTTATATTTTGTTTGGTGCAAGAGAGTTACAATGTGTTGGGTGTAAGAGAGTGATTCTTTGTTTGGTGTAAGAGAGTTATAATGGGTGGGTGTAAAAGAGTTATACTGTGCTGTGTGTAAGAGAGTTATTCTTTGTTTGGTGTAAGAGAGTTACAATGTGTTGGGTGTAAGAGAGTTATAATATGTTGGGTGTAAGAGAGTTATAATGTGTTGGGTGTAAGAGAAATATACTATGTTGGATATAAGAGAGTTATAATGTGTTGGGTGTAAGAGATTTATACTGTGTTGGGTGTAGAAGAGTTATTCTGTGTTAGGTGTAAAAAAGTTATACTATGTTGGGTTTAAGAGAATTATACTATGTTGGGTATAAGAGAGTTATAATGTGTTGGGTGTAAGAGAGTTATACTGTGCTGGGTGTAGAAGAGTTATTCTGTGTTAGGTATAGAAGAGTTATACTATGTTGGGTGTAAGAGAATTATATTATGTTGGGTGTAAGAGAGTTATAATGTGATGGGTGCAAGAGAGTTATACTGTGTTGGGTATAAGAGAGTTATACTCTGTTGGGTGTAAGAGAGTTATACTGTGTTTTGTGTATGAGAGTTATACTGTATTGGGTGTTAGAGAGTTATACTGTGTTGGGTGTAAGACAGTTATACTGTACTCTGTTGGGTGAATGAGAGTTATACTGTGTTGGGTTTGAGAGAGTTATGCTGTGCTGGGTGTTAAAGAGTTATACTGTGTTAGGTATAAGAGAGTTACACTGTAAGACTGTCTTGTGTGTAAGAGAGTTAATCTGTGTTGGGTGAATGAGAGTTATACTGTGTTGGGTATGAGAGAGTTATACTGTGTTGGGTATAAAAGAGTTATACTGTGTTGAGTTTAACAGAGCTATACTGTGTTGGGTGTAAGAGAGTTATACTGTGTTGTGTGTAAAAGAGCTATAATGTGTTGGGTGTAACAGTGTTATACTGTGTTAGGTGTAAGAGAGTTATACTGTGTTGGGTGTTAAAGAGTTATACTGTGTTAGGTATAAGAGAGTTATGCTGTGTCTGGTGTAAGAGAGTTATACTGTAAGACTGTCTTGTGTGTAAGAGAGTTATGCTGTGTTGGGTGTAAGAAAGTTATACTGTGTTGAGTTTAAGAGAACTATACTGTGTTGGTAGTAAGAGAGTTATACTGTGTTTGGTGTAAGAGAGTTATACTGTAAGACTGTGTTGGGTGCAAGAGTTTTATACTGTGTTGGGTGTAAGAGCGTTATTCTGCGTTGGGTGTAAGAAAGTTATACTGTGTTGGGTTTAAGAAAGTTATACTGTAAGAATGTGTTGGTTATAAGAGCGTTATTCTCTGTTGGGTGTAAGAAAGTTACACTGTACGACTGTGTTGGGTTGTAAGAGAGTTATACTGTGTTGGCTGTAAGAGAGTTATACTAAGTTGGGTGTAAGAGAGCTATACTGTAAGACTGTGTTGGATGTAAGAGAGTTATACTGTGTTAGGTGCTAGAGAGTTGCACTGTAAGACTGTGTTGGGTGTAAGAGAGTTATACTGGGTTGGGTGTAAGAGAGTAACACTGTAAGACTTTGTTGGTTGTAAGGGCGTTAGACTGCTTAGCTTAGGGTGTAAGAGAGTTATACACTGTCGGGTATAAGAGAGTTATACTGGAAGTCTGTGTTGGGTGTAACAGAGTTTTACTGTGTTGGGTGTAAATGAGCTATACTGTGTTGGGTGTAAGAGCGTTATACTGTAAGACTTTGTTGGTTGTAAGAGCGTTAGACTGCTTAGGGTGTAAGGGAGTTATACTGTGTTGGGGGGTAAGAGAGTTATAATCTGTTGGGTGTAAGAGGGTTATACTATGTTGGGTGCATGGCAAGTTTTTGAATGACTTTACTAACGAGCGATATTAAAATTGTATAGCATGAGAGATATGTGATGGAAGGGGCTGTCCTGCATGAGTTGTGACGAAGGATCACATATTGACACATTCCTTTTGACAGGTCCTCCTGACAAGGTCTTGACAGAAGATGAGGTGTTCATTGGCAGCCTCTTGCTCCGACATCTTGAACTTATACAGTTCAACGCTCATGAGGTCAGTCACTTGGTTAACCAGTTAATTAATATGTCAGTTAACAGTAAATCAGTCAAATATATAAATCCCTGGTAAACTGGGTTTATTCAGTTAGCTAATCATCGTATAAATCGGTCAGTATGTTAGTCAGTTAATCAGTCAATTAGTCATTTACTCAAAAGTCAGTCAGACACTAAGTCGGTCCCTACTGTAAGTCAATAAGTCGATCAGTAAGTCAGTTAGTTTCTGAGCCAGTCAGTCAGTTAGTCAGTCAGTCAGTCAGTCAGTCAGTCAGTTAATAGGCCATTCCGTTAGTCATTTAGTCAGTAAGTAAGTAAGTCAGTCAGTCACTAAGTGGGTCACTACCGTAAGTCAATATAGGTCAGTCAGGGAGTCAGTTAGTTAGTCAGTCTGTAATGGGTGATAATCTCATCGTGGGACTTTATAGTAGGAAGGATTACAAAGCGGTAGCGTGGTCGCGTGTATTAAAAAGATGTGGTCCTGTGGAGTTTTCTAAAGCCAATACTAAGTACAAGTTATTTATTAGTTAACTGAAAAAACACTGTTAATTACGCTTCATAGGTAACTTTCGCAAGATCAATACCGTGTCGTTGCAATTTACCCTTAAACACAGCAAATAAAATAGGTTGCACTTCCCACTAGTTTCCTCCACGACCACCGCTCTACACAAATGGATCAGACTTATTTGCATCCGGTGGGAGACTTAGCAAGATGGGACCTCGTGTCCTGCCGAGTCACCCCATGGCTACGGCTCAGAGAGAGACATCTCCCCCCCTTTCCCTGGCGGGTAGAGATTCTGGATTGAGTGTGAATCCGTTTGAGTATCACTGAGTCTGCTGTGTCTGAGAGGTTGACTCCTTTTTGGAGCCAGTATTTATTTATTTTTTTTCAGGGCCACAGGGGCAGTACTTTTACATATATATATGAGGACAGGAACTGACTGCCCCTTTGTATCCCCATTTGGGACGATCTTAAATGGTCTGCTTTATGGTGGCGAGTCCGGGTTGCTGTAGGCCTATTGATTGTACTGCTGATGGAGGGAGTGTCAAAATTTCAGTACTATTGGTGGAAGGAGTGGCACTGTTGGCAGTACTACTAGTGGAGGGAATGGCACTATTGCCAATACTACTGGTGGAGGGAATGGCACTGTTGGCAGTACTTTTGGTGGACGGACTGCCAATTTTGGCAGTACTACTGGTGGAGGGAGTGGCACTGTTAGCAATATTACTAGTGGAGAGGGTGGCACTGTTGGCAGTACTACTGGTTGAGGGAGTGGCACTGTTGGCAGTACTACTGGTGGAGAGAGTGGCACTGTTGGCAGTACTACAGGTGGAAGGAGTGAAACTGTTGGCAATACTAATGGTGGATTGAGAGGCATTGTTGGCAGTATTACTAGTGTAGGGAATGGCACTGTTGGCAGAACTACTGGTGGAGGGAGTGACACTGTTGGTAGTACTACTGGCTGAGGGAGTGGCACTGTTAGCAGTAATACTAGTGTAGGGAGTGACCCTGTTGGCAGTACTACGGGTGAAGGGAGTGGCACTGTTGGCAGTACTACTAGTGAAGTGAGTGGCACTGTTGGCAGTACTACTGTTGGAAGGAGAGGTACTGTTGGCATTACTATTTGAGGAGGGAGTGACACTGTTGGCAATACTCCAGGAGCAGAAAGTGGCACAATTGCCAATATTAATGGTGGAGGTAGTGGTGCGGTTCGCAGTAGTACTAGTGGAGGGAGTGGCACTGCTAGCAGTACTACTTGTGTAGGGAGTGGTACTATTGCCAGTACTACTGGTATAGGGGTTAGCACTGCTGGCTGTTCTACTGTTGAATGGAGTTGAACTGTTGCCATTACGAGTGGTGGATGAAGTGGCATTGTTGGCAGAACTACTGGTGGATGGAGTGGCACTGTTGGCAGTACTACTGGTGGAAGGAGTGGCACTGTTGGCAGTACTTCTGGTGGAGGGACTGACACTGTTGGCAGTACTTCTGGTGGAGGCAGTGGTACTGTTGTCAAGACTACTGGTGGTAGTACTACTGGTGGAGGGAGTGGCACTGTTGGCAGTACTACTGGTGGAGGGAGTAGCACTGTTGACAGTTCTACTGGTGGAGAAAGTGACACTGTTAACATTACTACTGGTGGAAGGAGTGGCACTATTGGCAGTAATAACTAGTGGAGGGAATGGCACTGTGGGCAGTACTTTTGGTGGACGGACTGCCAATTTTGGCAGTACCACTGGTGGAGGGAGTGGCACTGTTAGCAATATTACTGGTGGAGAGGGTGGCACTGATGGTATTACTACTGGTGGAGGGAATGGCACTGTTAGCAATACTACATCTGGAGGGAGTTGCACTGTTGGCAGTGCTACTTGTGGAGGGAGTGGCACTGTTAGCAGTACTAGTGGTGGAGGGAGTGTCACTGTTGACAGTACTACTGGTGGAGGGAATGGCACTGGGGCAATACTGATGGTGGAAGGAATGGTACTGTTGGCAGTACTACTGGTGAAGGGAATGGTACTGTTGGTAGTAATACTGGTGGAGGTAGTGGCACTGTTCGCAATATTACTAGTGGAGGGAGGAGCACTGTTGGCAGTACTACTGGTGGAGGGAATGGTACTGTTCGCAGTACCTTGGTGGAGGGCTTGGCACTGTTGGTAGGAATACTGATGGAGAGCATGGCACTGTTGGTAGTACTACTGGTGGAGGGAGTGGCACTCTTGGTAGTACTACTGGTGGAGGGAGTGGCACTGTGGCAGTTCAACTGGTGGAGGGAATGGTACTGTTGGCAGTACCACTGGTGTATATAGTAGCACTGCTGGCAGTGCTACTTTAAGGTAGGGAGTGGTACTATTGCCACCACTTCTGGTGGATGGAGTGGCACTGTTGGTAGTACTACTAATGTTGGAAGTGGCACTGTTGACAGTACTACTTGTGGAGGGAATGACACTGTTGGTAGTACATCTACTGTAGGAAGTGGCACTGTTGACTGTACTAATGGTGTAGGGAGTAGGACTACTGGAACTACTACCGGTGGAGCGAGTGGCACTGTTGGCAAGACCACTGGTGTATGGAGTAGCACTGCTGGCAGTGCTACTTTGAGGTAGGGAGTGGTACTGTTGCCACTACTTCTGGTGGAAGGAGTGGCAATGTTAGCAGTATTACTTGTGTTTGGAGTGGCACTGTTGGCAATACTACTGGTGGAGGAAGTGGTACTGTAGGTAGTACTACTGGCGGAGGGAGTGGGACTGTAAGCAGTACTACTTGTGTATGGAGTGGCACTGCTGGCAGTACTACTGGTGGAGGGAGTGGCACTGTTGGCAGAAATACTTGTGCATGGAGTGGCACTGTTGGTAGAATTTCTGGTGGAGGGAGAGACACTGTTGGAAGTACTACTAGTGTAGGGACTGGCACTGTTGGCAGTACTACTGGTGGAGAGAGTGGCACTGTTGATCGCATTACTGGTAGATGGTGTGGCACTGTTAGCAGTACTACGGGTGGATGGAGTGGCACAATTGGCAGTAATACTATTGGAGTGAGTGGCACTGTTGAGAGTGCTTCTGGTGAAGGGAGTGGCACTGTTGCCTTTAATACTGTGGGAGTGAGTGGCACTGTTAACAGTACTACTGGAGGAGGAAGTAGGACTGTTGGCAGTACTACTGGTGGAGGAAGTGGCGTTGTTGGCAGTACTACTGTTGGAGGGAATGGCACTGTTGGAAATACTACTGGTGGAGGGAGTGGCACTGTTAGCAGTGCTACTGTTGGAGGGAATGGCACTGTTGGCAGTACTACTGGTAGAGGGAGTGGCACTGCTTGCAGTGCTACTAGTGGGCGTGGTGGCACTTTTGGCAGTACTACTGATGGTGGGAGTGACACTGTTGGCAGTACTACTGGTAGAGGGAGTGGCACTGTCGTCAAAGCTACTGGTGGAGGGAGTGGCGATGTTGGTAGTACTACTGGTGGAGGGAGTGGCACTGCTTGCAGTGCTACTCGTGGGAGGAGTGGCACTGTTGCCATTGCTACTGGTGGAGGGAGTGGCACTGTTGCAGTACTTCTGGTGGAGGGAGTGGCGCTGTTGCCAGGTCTACAGGTGTAGGGAGTAGCACTGCTGGCAGTTCTACTGGAGTATGGAATGGTACTGTTGGCAGTACTACTGGTGTAGGGAGTAGCACTGCTGGCAGTACTACTGGAGAATGGAGTGGTACTGTTGCCATTACTTCAGGTGGAAGGAGTGGTCCTGCTGGCAGTACTGCTTGTAGAGGAAGTGGCACTGTTTGGCAGCCCTACTGGTTTAAGGATTAGCACTGATGGCAGTGCTACTGGTGAAAGGAGTGGCACTGTTGGCAGTACTACTTGTGCAGGGGGTGGTACTGTTCATTGTACTGCTGGTGGAAGGAGTGGCACTGTTGGCAGTACTACTTATGCAGGGAGTGGTACTGTTGACTGTACTGCTGGTGGAAGGAGTGGCACTGTTGGCAGTACTATTGGTGGAAGGAATAGCACTGTTGGCAGTACTACTGGTCCAGGGAATGGCACTGTTGGCGGTAATAATGGTGGAGGAAGTGGCACAGTTGGCAATACTACTTGTGTAGGGAGTGGCACTGTTGCCAGTACTACTGGTGTATGGAGTGGCACTGCTTGCAGTGCTACTCGTGGAGGGAGTGGTACTGTTGCCAGTACTACTTGTGCATGGAGTGTCACTGTTGGTAGTATTTCTGGTGGAGGGAGTGACACTGTTGGAAGTACTACTAGTGTACGGACTGGCACTGTTGGCAGTACTACTGGTGGAGGGAGTGAAACTGTTGGCAGTACTACTGGTGGAGGGAGTGGCACTGTTGGCAGTACTACTGGCGTAGAGAGTAGCACTGCTGGCAGTACTACTGGTGTGGGGAGTGGCACTGTTGCCATTTCTACTGGTTGATGGAGTGGCACTGCTGACAGTACTACTGGTGGAGGGAGTGGTTCTGTTGGGAGTACTATTGGTGTAGGGTGTAGCACTGTTGACA